ATCCGGTTTTTTGTGTACTTTCTTAGATGTTATTTTATTCTGTTTCAAAAGCAAACAATTTTGTAACGGTTGAATTTTGAGAAATTGCTTTTCAAATTTGGTGAATTTTCTACCTTTTTATACAACCTAGGCCTAGCTTTAGGCCTGGGATAGCGTTTTTTTGTTATCCAGCATAGGCTTAGAGAGCGTTTGTGTGGGTGCGTGTGTGCTACAACAAATCCTATACAAAGGATCTCTAATACTACTAACACTGTGGTGGTTTATTCTCTTTTGGTGTGGGGTTCTGTTGTAGAGTTCAAAAAGTACAATTATTTAAATTTCTTTAGTTTAAAATTAAAAAAAACTGGAATTCTATTATCTTTAAAAATTTAAATAATAATAATAATATTAATTCACTTTGGTATATACTTTATTCAATAAAAATCATTAATAATGATATCTTGATTTACACATTGATGGATTATTACAATTACAGTATATAAAAACATAAAACCTGATAAACTACACAGGAGTCATATTTTTTGTCATTAATTTAATTTTAAACAAATTATAAATATACAATGATACAAGGCTTTTAAAAAAACTACCGGTATATGATTTGTGAGATGCCACGATTGATTCACAGGGGTTTGTTCATTATTTTTTTCCTATTTTACTAATTCCTATTTCTTTTTAAGCAAACTATGATTCCTCAAAAAGTATGCACAATTAATTAACAATCACTTGAAATTAAATGAAAAAATATAACATACAGATAATAAAAAAGATGTTTTGCAATAGCAGGCCAGCAGACAACCTGGGTGATACCCAGCTACAGTAGTCAATTCTGCTAGTTTGAAATCATCAAAATGTCAGGCAATCTTGTAGCAAATAATAATATCTCCACACAATTTAAATTTGCAACACCAAAGAGCAAAAATAAATTACGTCCACAATAATTATATAGTATGCTGTTGCTGTGTCTATTTCATGACATATGGGTTTGAGTCTGTTGAGTGAATAGGGTGTGACGAACAGGTCCACATTGCCTTCCACAAGTTCGAAAGTTCTACTGAATCCTATCAGAAATATCCAAATATAATCCTTTTTTAGAAATCAGTGTGTACTGACTATATAGCCTAGGCCTAGGCGGAGAAAAATTAATCCACTGTGGTAGCAAACCAAATTAAGTAGCAATTTGACAATAAATATCACGCATAATTATTAAATAGTACGTAATATTACTTTTACATTGGATTTTCGTTGTTCTCTGCACATATTTCGATGTAAAACGATGCCTCGCATGAATCGTTTTTATACCTCGCACTTTTGGCAATGGCAAAACGATGCCTCGCATGAATCGTCGTTTTGCCTCGCTGCCTCGCATGCCTCGCTGCTTCGCACTTCAGTACTACTCGATTTCCACCTGCAAGAAAATTGTTACAGTTACATTTTAAATATATTCAACTTTTAAAATTTAATAAAAATACAATTTATGAATATCTATTTTGATATTGCATTATAAACTGTTTATATATAAAAATGGAATGCTAGAAGTGCATTTAATTTTTATTATCAGAAAATAATTGTTGTGGAGTATTCAACATCATTAAATAATATTGTACATTAATACTGTATAGTATGTTAATAAAATAATACAACTGTATTCAAATAATACTGTACTAACATACAGCCTGTATTGTATGAATTGAATTAAAATTATTTAACAATATGAATTTTGAATAAATTTCAATTGTTAGACCCGGATAAACCATACCTGCATGATTAAGCAAAATATTGATTGTTTTCAATTAAAAGAAATACTAAAGCTCTATTTAAATATAAAGTTGACTGATGACATTATATTAATATACTATGATTAATTGCAATGATTTTCTATTAAATATTCTAAAGCTCAGTTTAGTCTATATGCAGGTGCTAATTGAATAATACCCCCTGAAAATCACTCGAAATATTGTAAACCATAATAAAATAGGCTACCTCAGGCCTAAGCCTACTAATTACTGTACTTGCCTTATTATATAATTCAAATTTGCATGCTTTATGTGTACCTGCCTGAGAATTGGTGGTGGTAGCCAAACTTCTGGTTGGTAGGGGCAAAACCTGAAAAGTAATAAATATTAAATTAAAAATCGAATTAACTACATTTGTGTTTGTTAGCCTACATTGATCGGGTTATGACTATGACCCGAAAAGCATATAAAAATCTACATAGGATCCGTCAGCAAGCTGCTACGAGGTTCTGTATCTCTAGTTAGTAGGCATAGCTAGGCTAAACATTGGGTTCGCCGAGGCCTAAACAGGCGCATAATTAATAAATGCCTATTTGTTGTACTGTATGCACGCTTATTATGCTAGGCCTACGCTGATCCAAATTATGCTAACGAAACGTCGTTAACCATAAATTCCTGCGCGTGCAGATCGCGCTATGCCCATACAATGCGCAACACGCCTTTGCACTCGCCTGAAAATGTAGGTTACATTGACCATAATAGAAAAAAAATCTAGCCGTTACAAAAAAATATTTAATTTGTCAAGTTGTTCCTTAGTAATGAAGCATTACATACATGAAAAGCATTTTTGCAAAAATGATGGATAACACTATGTACTTTTTTGGCCAAAAACCCCAAAATTTGACTACAAAAACATGAAAATTATAGGCTTACCTTCGTCGGCCTCCACAGCGACTTCCATGATGAATTATTCTGAAAGATATGTTGAGGCTCCTCCCACATGACCAAATTAGGAATAGATCATGAATATTTAATAATATCAATTTACAGTATTAATGGTGATTAAAAACATTAAATATTCAAAGCGAGTGACGTGTATACAAGTGGGTTTTAATTATAGCGCGCCCTATATATTTTTTGCGTGCCTCAATATCAGACTTTTTGTTCACTATGAAGATACCGTGAGACATTATCGTCAGCGGGAGGATTATCCCAGACCCGATTATCGACAGGTTGCTCAACGTGAAGGTGAATCCATTGATGAGTGGGGTGATCGGGTTATGACTATGACTCGAAAAGCATATAAAGATCTACCGAGGGCCTGGATCCGTCAGCAAGCTGCTACGAGGTTCTGTCTTGGTTGCCAGAGCTGGAAGATATGTCCTCCATAAGCATGTTACCACTCTGGCAGAAGCTTTGACCGAGTATGAACAGTACGACAGTCTCCGAGGATTGTATGGCAATAAGAGAGGGAGCAGATCTCAAGAAATTTAAAAACCCCTGATCAGGTTTGCTACCCATGTCACTCATCGTTCATCTACACCTCCTGCTTACTCCGAGAAGAGGATGAGGATGAAGATAGCGACGATATCGAGACTGCGGAATGTAGACAAGTGGGTAAACGTTACAACCGGGATGGTGAATCAAGCTATCCTCGTTCTTCTACCCATTAAAAGCAAATAGCTGTTACACATACTAGCAAATCGGTCCCTTCGAGCCGAAAACCATCTCCATCACAACCGAGGTCTGATAATAGATTGACCGCCCTCGAAGATCAGATGGTGGCTGTTAACCAGAAGCTTCATGCGGTGTTTCGAAATGCTAAAACCACTGGGGGATCGGTGCTATGAATGCCATCAGGCGTGGCATTGGCGTAAAGTCTGCCAGCAGTTGGGAACTTCATCTAAACAAAGCAGGCAGGTTGGCGCTCAGGGTGAGGAAACTTTAAACGAAGCCATGGCCAGCTAGCCGACCATCCTCATTGTAGCGGCCAACAAGAACAAGAAGGCCAGGAAATCATGCACGATACAGTTTCTTCTGATCTTGGTGCGCCTAGCAACACCGTTAGTCCACAAAATGTACATCTTGTTCCGGGTGGGCCTAGCAATGCTGCCAGTCTACAGAGAGTACACGTCAAGAAACTGTGACGACGTCAATCAATTCTGATTCACTTACTGCCTCCCATTGTAATAAACCGGGGGACAGTAACGAGTCAACAACAACAATGACAAAAACGACAACAGAAGAAATAACTATCAGCAGAGTAAAGTCCGAAAACGCGCTGCATGCAACTGCTGTGGTCAACAACGTAAAAATTAATGTAGTTGTATATACCGCAGCCGATTACACCATCCTCTCTGATAGGGTATAATCAAGCCTTGAACCAGCACCACCTATTTTAGCCTTGTCCTTTACCTTAGCCGGGAGGGGAACATCCATGCCAGGCTATCAGTTGGGCCCCGTTAACTTTCGTTTGGGTTCAAACGAGTATAGTATATTTTTCTATGTAGCTCCTATAAATGATGTGATGTTATTGGGTGGGGATTTCCTCCATCCCAACTGTAATTGACTTCGGGAAGCTACTATTAACTATTGGTGACAGCACCATATCTCTTAGAGGGAAGGCGACATCTGACTCGAGAGTAGCCCGAGTATTTGTTGCCAAACGTAGAGTAATAAATCTTCATTGTGCTGAACATGTTAAATGTCAATTAATTAATAATGGTTTGCCTATGACTGATTTCTTCATAGAATCGGACCCTAACGAAAAAGTAGCAATTCCAGCTACGCTGCACCGCTGCATTGATGCACCATGCATTTGCGTAGTGAATATGTCCGATAATTATGTAGCCATTAAGAGGGGTAGGAAAATAGGTATGGCCATGGAGACTGAGCAATTCGACGTGATGAACACCGAGTCACCAAGAATATGTTCAGTCACTGGGGATGACGACAAGTTCGCCATGGGAGAAGGGATTACGTCCTCGGCCAACGCCGTTACGTTTCGCTGGTGAGGAGGAGAAAGAAATGAAAAAGATGCTGGAAGCGGGAGGCATCCAACCTTCTGTTTCTGAGTGGGCATCACCCCCAGTTTAAGTACGCAAACGTGACGGGTCGGTACGTTTTTGTATCGACTATCGTGCACTCAACAACGTGACGGTTAAAGATGCTTACCCTTTACCGTTAGTCAGGGATTGCCTTGATACACTGTCAGGTAATATTTGGCTCTCCAAGTTAGATGCTATCTGGGGGTACTGGCAAATCAAGATGAATGACCAGCACCGTAAAAAGACAGCTTTTGTTACCAAACATGGGTTGTATGAATTCATTAAAATGCCATTTGGTCTCTTCAATTGCCCCGCAACCTTCTCAAGGGCTATGGGTTTAGTGCTGAGGGGACTCACATGGAATACGGTACTGGTATTTGTGGTATTGGGTAAGGCATTCGAAGATCATTTAAGTAACTTAGCATGCGTTCTTGAAAGGTTTTGTCAGAGTAACTTAGAGCTTAAACCTAAAAAGTGTGTTTTCTTTCAGAAGAAGGTTGAGTTTTTGGGACGTGTCGTCAGCGACGACACGTTATCAGTTTCCGATACCGATGTCCAAACCGTCCAAGAATGGCCTACTCCAAAGAAGGTGAAAGAGCTGCAACAATTCTTAGGATTGACGAACTACCATAGGGAATTAATCAGCAATTTCGCTGATATTGCAGCACCATTTTACCGTCTTACCTGTAAAGACAGTGACTTCGACTGGGGAGAGCAGCAGCGAGCTTTTAAACTACTCAAAGCCGCATTAACACAACCCCCAGTACTCGCATTACCAAACGGAGAAGATGAATTTATACTAGATGTTGATGCATCAGATCAAGCTCTTGGTGGAGAACTCCTCCAAGTCCAGGATGGTCAAGAAAAGGTGATTTCTTACGCAAGCATGCGCTTGGCTAAGGAACAGCGGAATTATTGTACCACTCGTAAAGAACTTTTGGCCATAGTCTACATGACCAGACACTTTCGTCATTATCTACTGGGACGACCTTTCCGAGTGCGGACTGACGATAGCCAAACTTGGTTACTTAACTTTAAGCAACCATAAGGATCGAAGAGCTCAGCCAGTAGAATATGATCATCCAACATCGAAAGAGCAAACTGCATGCTAACGCCGACGCTCTCTCTCTGACTCTGGGGCGGGCGCCACCCCACTTATAGATCTACCTTGTAGTGGGTGTTCGTATTGTCGACGAGCGCATGAGAGGTGGGCTACTTTCAAGGAAGTAGTGGATGATGTAGTGCCTATCGCTCATGTGGGTCAGATCAGGTCAGCCAAGGGGTCTGACGATATTTCATGAGATCCTGGGGGCCAGGTGACTATTGAAATAATTAGGCCGGACACCTAGGGTGGAAATAATACAATTTCTATCTTACAGGATAACGGATCCAGAGTGTATGCTGTACAACCAGATGCTAAAGCTACTTGCTGGGGCTACTCTTTGGATGTAATAAAACAGGGCCAGAAAAACGATCCCGACCTTCCACCCATCCTAGACTGGTTGAAGAACGGCGAGCCATTAGAAAAGACGCTCTTTATATCCAGCGCTTCAACTAAATTTCTTTTGTTGAACAAAGACCGTCTACAATTAACCGATGAGGAAATCCTGTTCATACAGCAGGAGAACGCTACTGGGCTCCTCTTAGTACTATCCAGGGAGTGGCAGATGGAAGCCATACGGCTACACCATGACCTACCGTCACCTGGGCACCAGAGAATAGCGAGAACAAAATTTAGATTGAAGGAAATGTTCTGCTGGCACGGTATGGGTAAGGATGTAGAAAGATATGTGTTAACTTGTGAAATATGTAATCGTAGCAAGAAATCCACTCGCAGGGGTAAATATCCGATGACCGAGTTTCATGCTGGGATACCGATGGAGCGGGTGCACATAGATTTCCTGGGCCCCCTACACAAAACTGAACTGGGCAACGTTTATATACTAATGATGGTTGATAAATTTACGAAATGGGTTGAGATCAGTCCCGTTCCCTCCCAAACCACCGAGGTGAATGCGAGGGCATTGGAGGGGGATTTCTTCTCCCGCTTTGGGGTTCCCTTCCAGTTACACTCTGATCAGAGGAGGAATTTTGAAAGTGAATTGTTTAACTCTTTATGTCAAGTCTTACAGATTCACAAGACCCGTACTACCAGCTATCGGCCGTCAGCCAACGGTCAAGTAGAGCGGTTTAATCGTACGTTGATGGATGCGGTAAGATGTTATGTTGGCAAGAGACAGAAAGACTGGGATGTCCATCTTCCGAAACTTGCTGGTGCATTACGCGCCACAGTAATTTACTCCGAACATGCTGATGCTAGGCCGGGAAATTAATCTTCCCGCTGATTTGATGTTTGTCCAGTGCCAGTCGGGGGAAGTTCAGGGAGTTGGAGACTACATCTCAGAATTGGTTCGTTCCATTCGGGACGCTCACGATACAGCCAGGGAGACCCTCAAAGAGACTCCGAAGCGCATGAAAATTAATTACGATCTGCGTGTTCTGAAACGGCCTTATCAACGTGGGGATAGGGTGTATATACTCGATAACAGTACCCCCAAAGGCAAATGCAAAAACCTTTGTCCTCCGTGGAAGGGTCCACAAAATGTACATCTTGTTCCGAATGGGCCTAGCAATGCTGCCAGTCCACAGAGTACACGTCAAGAAACTGTGACGACGTCAATCAATTCTGATTCACTTACTACCTCCCATTCTATTAAACCGGGGGACAATAACGAGTTATTCAGTGTGATTATTGTGATGTCTGGTATATTGGCTCATGTGTGAACATCTCGCCATCGGATGCCATGGACATTGATTTGTATAAGTGTGCCCAGTGTAAAAACCCAGGCCAGTTAACTATTCACTAACGTGTAATGTTAATAACTAGTTAAAGTTCCATTTCTAACCAAATGTATTGTATTTCCTTACTCTCGCAGAAATGGACAAGCAAGATCAACTACCGCCCGCCGATGAGATGCACGTTCAACTCAGTGTGGCCGAGGAGAGCGACCTCCTCGCCGATTCACCTCAACCGCCACCACTGGAATCACTCCCGCCCGCAGAGCCGTTGCTGCCAGCAGAGTCGCCGTCAACGGAGCCCGAAGCGGACTTCATCAACTGGAACCAACTCCATCCCCAGCTGAGCCATCACAACCTGGAGCTGGAATACGTCTCCGGAGAACGCTTGCGTTTGGCCGGGGTGTAATCTTAGGAGAGTCGTGAACATGAGGGTGCATGTTATGGGCAAACATGTACCACAAACCCTGAAACCCTTGGGCCGTAGTTCCTGGCGCCAAGCCCAACGACAGCTCGACATTTTGAGACAACTGGCTGTAGCGTGTATAGGTGAAGGAGCCACCTTGCACGAAATTATGATTCGCCTCAACCGAGAGAGGGGGATGAGAGAGCCAGGGGTTAAATTCGCTATAGGTCATCTCACCTACCGAACCATGCAAATGGTTTGTGCGGTAATTGGTGGGGAGAAGCCCGGTGTGTTTACAGTTAATCCCGCTAATCACCCTGCGTCATTGATTCACTGGCGATGTTTGGCGGCTATTGCAAGACTGTTTGCACGAAAAAGTGCCTGAGCCCTTATGAAAATTAACGTAACTGTGATTAAAAATTGCCCTGTTTTCTAACATACAAATGAGTATTAAAGTGTGTAAGGTATTGCCATTGAGATTTGTATTACTATTGATACAGTCCTCACATGACATAATTCATGTTCAAATATTGAATACCAACATGGTGGTAGCATTTCAATACTTGGAGCATGTACTTTCTTATACATTAGTTAATTGATACATAAATAATATATCATGTATAATAATTATTATGTATAAAATTCAAAAATTATTGTGTACAGTAAAATAAAATTTAATTAATATTGAACTATAGACTGTACTGTAGCCTACAGTAGTGTAATAGCGTTCAATATCTTTTATATATTATAAATTTTAGTCATTCAAATTTTGCATTATTTTTCAACCTAATACACACTCAATCTCTACAGTGTAGTAATTAATGGTATTAAATCACTTTTTTATTTTAGGTCTGATGAAAACTTGCTTAGTTTCAGTGAAGGGGATATTTTGATAAAGTTTGGTGGCGACAAGGGTGGGGATACAACAAAGTTTGAAATTCAATTGTGCTGTCTTCCCAAACCAAATTCACTGGAAAATGTAATTGTGGTGCTAGTATTTCAAGCCCTAGACTTCACCGTAAACCTTCAAAAAGGTCTGGCCCTTATTATGGATGAAGTTATGGATATAGAAGGGAGTGTGTGGAAATCAGAAAGGACAAACAAGTAAGTTTATCTATTTTTATGATTTGAAAATTGAAAACAAAACATTACATTACTTGAATTTTATCAATATTGTGTATAATTAATATTTAAATATTGAATATGACGTTTAAATTTTACAATTATTTTTCCAGGAGTCACACGTTACGATTGTTTTTCTTCGGGGATTACGAGTTCTTGTCTCGTGTTTATGGACTCATTGGATCTAACGGTAATAATTATTTCATTTGTATTTTACAAGGTAATAATAATTATTATTTATAAATAGAACATAGTAATAACAAATATTTTAATTCTTAAATAATGTAATATACTGTACATTTTTAAAGGCAAGTATTCCTGTATATACTGCTTGATAACTCAGCAAGGAATAAAAGATGGTACAGGAAATTGTTCTAAAAGGACCTTGGACAGCTACAATGATGACTTTGAGGAATTTGTTCGGAATGGTAGTGACCCAGCAAAAGGCAAATTTGTCTTCCATAGTGTAGTCAGAAAACCTATGCTCAACATCGAGTTAGATAAGGTTAGTATACAAAAAGAAAAAATATATATAATTACTGGCAACTCTTTCTAAAAACAACTTGTATATTATATTGTTGAAGTTAGACAAGGTTAGTAAAAATAACTTATTATTAGTGGTCACTCTTTAACAATCACATTTTTTAAACATTACATATGCTTACCTGAATCAACAAGTACTTTTCTAATTCTGACACTAATCACATATTTTTACAGGTTTCAATACCTTCGCTACATATCTCACTTGGGATATTTAAGAAACTGTTCGATATTTTAGAAAGAGATGTCCACCATATTGACTGTCAAATATTTTATTTGCGGCAGAGGACTCTTGATCCAACTAGTATGTTTTCAAACATGTTATGTACACTCCTTGAGAATAGTATGCATTCCGAAAATACTGTACTTAGATAGATTTGTATTCTTTTTCATGTGATCATGAATTGACAGACTTCGAAAAAGCCATTTCAGAGGCCGCCACAATTAGAAATAACAGTATTACTGAAATCAAATCCTTGAATGACGCTATTGAGCAGATGCGGGATGAACTCCCGTTATAAATCCTTGCTAATAGTGATGTAATGTCCAACAAAGTGGCAGACATCTGCTACAAAATTGCTGTAAAAGAACAGAAGGTGAAAGACTTGGTAAGCTAAATTATATTAACATAATAACATACAGTATAATAGTAACAAAAAATTGTTTTCTTATTAATTAATATTAATATTAATAATAATAACAATAATAATAATAATAATAATAATGACAATAATGGAATCCTTCTATTATATTGTTTGCAAACTTTTAGTATTTTTTTCATCCCCTTTTTTAACAAATCCAGGAAAATCATATAGATCAAGAGCTGAAATTCGCAAGTGGCCCCTTGGCAACAAGTATGGATGATGTTTTGCATGCTAATAAAACCAAGACAACAATATCATGGGAAAAGCTTCGTTGGAAATCATGTTCACAAATCCCAAGGAAAAAATAAAAAAAGAAGCACACACCAGTTTTCGAAACATTTGCTAAGATACACACGTTAATAAACCACACACGACCTGTTAATCTAACTGAACTGAGAGAATATGGTAAGAAACAAATTCACATTTTGCATTAAAAAAAAATAACTAGCTTTTTGTTGAAGTGTTTTCCAAATTATATGTGCATTTCTTTTTTTTTTGACCCAGAGTCAGCAATCACAGATTTTTCAAGAGATTATCGAAAAGTTGCAACCAATGTTAAGCAACCAAAGCTACATATGCTGGAACATCATTCAATTGAATTCATGAGGAAGTGGAAGGTTGGTCTTGGCTTGCTGTCTGAGCAGGGTGGCGAACTAATACATGCAGAATTCAATCGCCGTAAAAGATCTGTATATGGATTACGAAGTCATCTCGACCAAATTATGTCCGTTATGAAATCCCACCTGTTGTTCACATCACCAGACATACAAAATGAGATATCATCATTGTCAAAGAAAAGAAAAATTGAAGAGTGATTAATAAAAAATGTATGTGTAAAATGAGTAATGAGTTAATAATACACTATTTTACTCACCAATTCATTGTCTTGCTTGTCTAGTGTTGACTCAGTATTCAGGCATAATTTGAAAAATGAAAATAAATTATTTTTTATTTAAAAACATCACAATTTTAATCTTTAAATTAAGGTCATAT